ACGCTCTTACGACTCCAACTGACCGGCGCGAAGGCTGAAACTGACCAGGAACTCTGCAGTTCTTGGCGAACGTCGATTCCTTTCGTCGCCTAAAACCGACGAAAACGATCAACCCCCCGCCCCCCAGCAGAACGTGCGGAGGCCTCAACGCGAAGAAGGAACAGGGGGGGGGGGGCGCTTACTTGTGTCTCCCCAGGGGCTTGCCCGGAGTCAGCTGGGGGCTAGAGCCTGAGGTATAGAGGTTGTATCTGTTGCCGTAAGGGATGGGCACCGGGTGGCGGTAATAGGTCCCCTTGGCATCGGTGAGGCAAACCAGCGTCCCGACCCAGAGCAAAGAGATCGAGGCGCAAGGCAGAGTTTTCCCGGAGAGCCTCCGTGCCCTGTTCATGTTCTCCAAAGGAAAGCGGACAGAGATGCGCGAACTACACACTCGCTCCTCGTCTGGTCACCAAGGATCCGCCGAGGCCGCCTCTGGGGCCAGTTTTGCGCGCTGCCTTCCAGTCCGGGGAGGGTGAAGGGCGGGGTAGATCCCTCTAGGACAGACGGTGGGCTGTCGCGCTCTGCCCCTGGTGCGAGTCCATGCCAGATCGCCTAGGAGGACGGGAAGGTCCTCTCGTGGAACAGAGGCGGGGGGGAGGCTAGCAAAGCCAGGTACCCCATCCAGACACCTCCGTCCGCTTTCGCCCGGGCTACATCCCCAGCGCAAGCCCCTCTTTTGTACCTTGCCTTGCGGTTCGCCCTGCTGCAGTCAGTCCGGCTCTCCTAGTAGGGCAGGGGAGAGAGAGGCGGGTCCCTTGCCCTGGATTAGCATAATATCCCATCCATCTCCTCCTCCCGCCGACTGGCCTTTGAAACGCTCACTCGCCGCCGCCGCCGCCGCCCCCCCCCCCAAATCAGGGGACAACCCCCCGCGGCGCAGCATCAAACAAACGGTGTTGAGGGGGGGAAAGGGGGGGGGGAGACAAAGGCAGGAACGGGAGACACACAGACCAGAGAGAGAAAAAGAGGGCGAAGAGGAGCAGACGCGGGAAGGCGGACTAACGGGTGCGCTGCGCTCTTGGCGAATGCCAGTCTCGGGGAATGCTGGCGGCGGCGGCGGGGGGGTGTCGATATTTGTTTCAAACCTCTGGTACCCTGATGATTCAGCACATCTCTCTCCCTAACCCACAGGGCATCCCTGTCCGCTGCCAACTCGCCAGTAGTCCGCAGAGGAAAAGAACGATAGGTGTTGCAGTCCTCCACTCAAGGGAAAATGCCCTTTCTCTCTGCTCACGCGTCAGGTTCGCAGCACCCTTATATGCCCGTCTTTAGCCTGCGGTAGTGTAATGTACTGTCAGTACTCGATCTCGGAGTGGGGGGAGGGATTACCACCCGGCCTCCCCACAGCACACAACCCTTGTGTGCAGACAGTTCGTCTTTGCGCGAGGCATATGCCGCGAAGTTGGGTCCAGCCATGACCAACGGCCACCCCCTTCTCACCCAGTCCAGGACGCGGCAGAGGATCGGGTCCTTCGCAGTGCGCCGGGCCACCTCTGTCACGTGGACCGGCTGGTCGGGCAGGGACTCCAGCAGCGCGATTTGATGGGCTGGGGCCGGGTCAGGCTCCGTTTCTGGCAGAGGCAGGCGGCTCAAGGCGTCAGCGTGTCCCATCGCCTTCCCGGGCCGGTGCAGGAGCATGTAGTTGTAGCCCGCCAGGAAGACGGACCACCGGATCACTCGGGGCGACGTCATCTGGGGGGTCTGGCGGTCCGGGGCGAGCAACCCCAGGAGAGGCTTGTGGTCCGTGAGGACCGTGAAGGGCCGGCCGTAGAGGTAGTGGTGAAATTTTTTTCACCCCGGCCACTATAGCAAGAGCCTCCTTGTCAATCTGCGCGTAGTTGCGCTCAGCCGCAGACAAGGTCCGGGAGTAATAGGCTACAGG